AACACAAACAAGGGGTCACAGGTAGAAACTGAGTACCAAAATGAGCCACAGAGACATTAGAAAGAATTTTGTCAGTGTCAGAGTAGTTAAATGGAATCAATTAGGCAGTGATGTGGTTGAGGTAGACTCCATACACAGTTTCAAATGTAGATTTTATAGAGCCCAATAGGCTCCAGATTATGTACACCAGTTGATTGACAGTTGAGAGGCGGGCCCAAAGAACCAAAGCTCAACCCCTGCAAGCACAACTAGGTGAGTAGATTGGAACTGTTTTCTTTCTTCAGTGAATTGAAAACCATTGCTTCTGATTCACTAATGAAAAAATGTGAACATCTGGCTAATATGTATCACAAAGACCTAAATTATGATGACCTTTTAAATGAATGTAAGCATCTCAAGCACTACATAGCCATGAAAATTGTGAGACTCTCCCTGCACTGTACAGAAAAATAATTTCGGACAATTTGAAATCTGTATTCCTGAATGTTGAAATTGTACTCAGTGTGTTCATGTGCATGATGGTGACCAACTGTACAAGAGAATGTTCTTTTTCAAGACTGAAACTTATAAAACCAGCGTTGAATGTAATGAAACTCCATTTTCTAGGTAGAGCCCCAGAGGCTCGCTGGAGCTATTGGACTGATATTAGCTAATATTAGTACGGGGCTTCAGTCAAATGGAGTTGTCATGCCTACCGGAGACCACTACCCAGACCATAGTCCCCTCAGAGAGGTGAAGGGAGTAATGATCTATGAAACTCACATGTATGAAAGTATTCATGTCTGCCATCAACTGGGGGGTTGAACACCCAGAATGGTAGGCACTTCAAAACATACCCCACCTGGTAGAGATATTGCAACCTGAGACCGAACAGAGGCGAGAAACTCCATTTTGGTGAAAAGTGGTGAAAAGACCGCCAAGAGACTTCATACTATCGCTGAGAAGATGGCAGGTGGGACACCATGAGAGAAGTCACCTGGTCACCATACAAATGGTGATACACTCACGTAAGAAACTCCAAACGTGAAGCACAGGAGAGTAGAGCGGACCAGCAAGGTACTTTATCGGCACGATCTGCTCGCAGAGCCTGAAACCATGGCTGGGCTGGCCACCATGGGGCCTGAAGGTGAACCCTTCCCCAATAGGACTCGAGCTAAGCCAGAACCCAACGTAACAGCTGAATTGGGGGAAAGACATACAGGTAACCCCCACCTCGACCAGTCCTGCCAAAAAGCATCTACTGCGACAGCCTCACAGTTGGGAAAGGGTGCCACATATACGGGGAGACGCATCAACCATGCTGACGCAAAGAGGTCCAACCGAGGCGGGCCCAAATGTCCAGCAGAGCCAACTGAACAAGTCGACATGAACCATCCATTTTGTGGACAAGGGAATGAACCGTGACAGGCCATCCACCAGGACGTTAGACATGCCCTGGTTATGAACTGCACTGAGAACTAAACCCCGAGAACTCGGCAGAAGAGCTGGAGCACAGTCCGAATGGAGCTCCGAGCAAGCCGAATCCGATGCAGCATAAGTCACACTGCCACAAATTCTTGCACCGTACTGTGAGCCCGATGGAAGGACAGTGCCCACCGCCCCTGGCCAGCCTGGTGAGCGCACTGGTCACTAAACCCCAGCCAAGAGAGGAGGCATCAGTGAACACATCAAGCAGGGCTTCGGAAGGTGCCAAGGAACTGAACACCGAAAAGCCTGAAGAGGAAGCTGGCGACACGGCAGAAGGGGCGGCTCTGAAGGAACCAGAACAGACGCTGCAACCAAACTCGACCCAGCAGGTAAATGATCACAGCGAAGTTCAGATTTCCACACTGGTGCTCTAGCAACCTCCAAGTGACCCGGAACTCCCTCAGGAACAGACAAAGGCGAGACTGCAACCAGAACAACGCCACCTGAGGAAGAGACAAGGACGCTGTCCGGGAATTCCAGACAAGGCCCAACCAATTCCGAACCTGAGACAGAACCAGATGGGACTTCCTACAGTTCACCAGGAACCCTGAACCGGGCAAGCTGGGAAAGAACCAAACCCCTGGCAGCAGACATGCGAACTGGCTTGGAGCCCAGACCAACCAGTCGTTGAGGTAGGCCAAAACCCGAACACCTAGGAGATGCAGACAGGCCATAAATACCCCGGGTAAGATGCATAAAAACATGAGGTGCCAGATTCAACCTGAAAGGAAGGCAACAAAAGTGGTAAGCCTGATGCCCCACCATGAAACTTAACCAGTCCCTGAACCCCGGATGTATAGGGAAGTGCCAAATAGGCATCCCAGAGGTCCAGAGATGCCATCCAAGAACCTGGCTCCAAGAGAAGCCAGACCTGGGGACAGAGTTGTCATCCGAAAGGAGGGACAAGGAATTCAGTGATTCAGACGGGACAAGTCCAGAATAAACCTCAGATCCGCACAGTCCCGTTTCAGCACTGAAAACAGGCCGAAAACCCACCTGAGGAATGAGGTAATTTTGACAACGCCCAAGTGCACCCACTCCAGATACAATAAGAATTCCAGAGAACAACATAGAGCACATAGAGCACATAGTCTAGAGATGAAGTGGAAAAAATGCTCAAGGAGCTAAATAAGAACAAAGCAGTTGGTCCAGATGGAGTTTCACCATGGGTTCTGAGAGAATACGCACCTGAGCTCAGCATTCCTCTTCAACTGATTTTTCAGGCATCCCTGTATACAGGAGTTGTAGCTGATGTGTGGAAAAAGGCTAACATAGTTCCAATCTACAAAAGTGGAAGCAGGGAAGACCCCCTTAATTATAGACCGGTATCATTGACAAGTGTAATAGTCAAAATATTGGAAAAAATAATTAAAACTAAATGGGTAGAACACCTGGAGAGAAATGATATAATATCAGACAGACAGTATGGTTTTCAATCTGGAAGATCCTGTGTATCGAATTTACTCAGTTTCTATGATCGAGCAACAGAGATATTACAGGAAAGAGATGGTTGGGTTGACTGCATCTATCTGGACCTAAAAAAGGCTTTCGACAGAGTTCCACATAAGAGGTTGTTCTGGAAACTGGAAAATATTGGAGGAGTGACAGGTACGCTTCTAACATGGATGAAAAGTTTTCTGACAGATAGAAAAATGAGGGCTGTGATCAGAGGCAATGTATCGGACTGGAGAAATGTCACAAGTGGAGTACCACAGGGTTCAGTTCTTGCACCAGTGATGTTTATTGTCTACATAAATGATCTACCAGTTGGTATACAGAATTATATGAACATGTTTGCTGATGATGCTAAGATAATAGGAAGGATAAGAAACTTAGATGCCCATGCCCTTCAAGAAGACCTGGACAAAATAAGTACATGGAGCGCCACTTGGCAAATGGAATTTAATGTTAATAAATGCCATGTTATGGAATGTGGAATAGGAGAACATAGACCTCACACTACCTATATATTATGTGAGAAATCTTTAAAGAATTCTGATAAAGAAAGAGATCTAGGGGTGGTTCTAGATAGAAAACTATCACCTGAGGACCACATAAAGAATATTGTGCGAGGAGCCTATGCCACGCTTTCTAACTTCAGAATTGCTTTTAAATACATGGATGGCGATATACTAAAGAAATTGTTCACGACTTTTGTTAGGCCAAAGCTAGAATATGCAGCAGTTGTGTGGTGCCCATATCTTAAGAAGCACATCAACAAACTGGAAAAGGTGCAAAGACAATGCTACTAAGTGGCTCCCAGAACTGAAGGGCAAGAGCTACGAGGAGAGGTTAGAGGCATTAAATATGCCAAAACTAGAAGACAGAAGAAAAAGAGGTGATATGATCACTACGTACAAAATAGTAACAGGAATTGATAAAATCGATAGGGAAGATTTCCTGAGACCTGGAACTTTAAGAACAAGAGGTCATAGATATAAACTAGCTAAACACAGATGCCGAAGAAATATAAGAAAATTCACTTTCGCAAACAGAGTGGTAGACGGTTGGAACAAGTTAGGGGAGAAGGTGGTGGAGGCCAAGACCGTCAGTAGTTTCAAAGCGTTATATGACAAAGAGTGCTGGGAAGATGGGACACCACGAGCGTAGCTCTCATCCTGTAACTACACTTAGGTAATTACTCCAAGATGACCCGACGAAGCAAAGGGGAAGAAACCTGCTCTACCTGCCCTACCCGCCCCGAACACCCCCATCCCCTTCCCGTCCAAAAGGGAGAGGAATGACCCAATGCCACCACAAGCCGAAGACATGACCTGAAATGCTCACGAATCGTGGGACCAAACGCAGGCAAACAGAGCCAGCCACCCCCCACCCCCTGGGGGGGCTCGTTGGCTGGCTCATTACCCCAAGGGGAGGGGGTAATGTTAGTGGCCTGCCGCAAAACTGTTTGTTAACGACTCGCTCACCGTATCATGAAATATAACATAATATAATAATACTGTACAGTACTGTACACATGTATATAATGATATTTCAATATAGATGTGCACAAATTTAAATACTGCAGCATTGTTTAAATTGTAATAGAGATACCTTAACAATTAAAGGTATGACCTCAGCATATCCAATCTGAACAGGTTAGGCTTACCTTACAAAGGGTAAGAAAAATATGGATGTACATTTTTTTGTTACTCAAGCACGGAACTGCTAAAACCAAAGTAAAATGGTTAAGAGAAGGGAATTATGAGGACAAAGCACCAATCCATTATGACTATATAGCACTTGGAAGGGATCCAAGTAAGCATTTGGAATGGGACGGGGGGAAGGAATGGTGCCGAACCACTTGGACGGTTGGGGATCGAATGCCGACCTGCATGAATCGACACCGTTGCTCTACCGTCCGGCAGAGTGGTTGGCTAGTAAAATGGTTAAGTAAAGAATTATATGACAGGAAAATTATCAGTAAAAAGACTCATCTATTATTTTTTTAATTATATGAAAAAGCATTGTAATTTTGTTAAAACTGGAAACCTATAAAATATCAAAATATTACCAACCTTGCCAATTTGCAGCATTTATCATCGAGGAAGCACATGGATAAAGTGAGTGGACGTAAACCACAAGGCAGTGGTTGGAGGGGAAGACGACGCCCTTCATTCCGTGGTGGACGCATGGGTCGTCCACGAACTCACACCTACACTCAACCCCTATCATCCAACTTTGTTGCTGGCGGTGAACTGCTGTGAGAGTCTAGAAAGTCACGGATAATAACAATGCTGTAGGTTAGGAACTTATAGTTCGGGCAGGTACATCTCCAGTGCTAATTTCTTAACTTGGTTACCATTTTGACAAATATGGAAATATTGTAATTTGTTAGAAAGATCTTTGTGAATTTCATGTATTGGATGCTGTGCCATTTCTAGTAGATTTACCTTTTTTTTTTTTAGTGTTTATTATAGAAAGTTAAAACTTAACTAGCAAGTTAAAATGCTTGGAAGCATGTTTTATCTACAAAATATTATAACATGTATTTGTATGGACATTGAGCATCATGTTCTTTTTTTTAAGCAATACTACTGTTCAAAGTCTGCTTTTATATAATCCATTCATGATCCCGTCCCATTTAGCACAGTTTCTGCATGTCTAAACATACACAATTATTTTAAATTTCAGTGGTTTTCAATGTGAGCTTTATAGGCACTGGATTTCCACCTGCCATGGTCTTACCAATCATAAGAGATGGCTGTTAACAGTACGTAGGAGATCTTTAAGGTAGCTGACATTACCTTTAAGGTGGCTACTTTTAAGGTAGCTGTGCGGTAGCTCACCTATAGCACTTGACACTACAGAGTGTGCGAACTTGATTGCCGGTCTGGAGGATCATTCGCAGGTTTTTGTATGCATGACTTAGTTCAGATGCTGTTAATCCCTCATAGTGCAATCCAGTCATATTATTTACAGCATTTAAGTTTTTGTTAAGTATTTGAATCCTTTTCCATCAGTAGATGGAGTAATCTTGAAAGAGCATCCTAGACGTACACATAACTGCACCTTTAATGTAATTTGGTTCAGAGCAAGATTTTATGCATTCTTCTTCTTATACAAGTTGGATAATGAAGCTGTAAGGAGGATTTCTGATTAACAAAATGAATATGGTATAAATGCATTTTTAACCCATTTACTAAGCATAGTAAAAGTAATAAGGTATTTGTTGGACTGTGGCAATGCAACACATGAAAATTAAGTGGAGTTACCTTGATACCTAAATACCTGCTTGGTGGGGTTCTGGGAGTTGTTCTACTCCCCAAGCCCGGCCCGAGGCCAGGCTTGACTGGTGAGAGCTTGGTCCACCAGGCTGTTGCTTGGAGCGGCCCGCAACGACAGCAGCCCGTTACGACATCACAAATTATACAATACAGTACTGTACTGTAGTCTTGACAGACAAAAGTTGGTTCATACCTTAATTGATTTTGAATTTTCAAAGTTTGGCATTTTATAATTCCATGAATTTGTGTTCAAATTCAAATAAGCATACAGTATATTGAATTGTTGTTGTCAGAATGAATGGCTTTCCAGTTGCGTGCCACTTTGTAGTAGATATTGGGACGTGGCATTTTTTGGCGGTCATTGGATTAAAGTCGGTGCTACTGATTTTAAATTAATTAATGAACATAATGTAAATATGATGTGATTTTTTTTTATATATATTATGAGCATTAATATAAAGAAATCATTTTTGTTGACATATCAAAAAGTGGTAACTGGAAATTGAGTGACTGTTATGCTTCAATTAAAATACCAAAATTACAGGTTCAGTTTTTTTAGTTCTGTACATGACTTGAGATCCAGGGTTAGGAGTAGCATAAGAGTACAGTAATATATCCTAAACAAGGTTTGAAGAGAATGGTAATAATTTAGACATCAAAGGTAGTCAGTCAGTTTTATTGTCTGTTGGATTTAGAGGCTCTAAATACTGTCCCAGAACTGTAGATGTATATACCCCATGAGAACTTCAGACAGCCTCATCAATACTTTCTGGGGAATTAACACTGTGGGGGTGATAAAATGTTCATATGTAAACATTATTGTTGATGTAGGAAATATTTTTATTTAAGCAAATTCTAGATGAAAGGGCCACAGTAGTGACACATTGCTTCTATGTCTATAGATTATCTGCCAACAGGAAGGCGTTATGAGGATTTTAAGATGTGTGTCACAAGTTCGGTAAGAAATTGGCTGGTGTTTCAAACTCGGCTTGGAAAAGTTTGAAACAGAAATGGTTCTCAGAGCTACAGTTGATTTTGTCATGGTTCATTCTTAACCTGCCTCTGCACAAGTGGAAGACTCCCCACCTCTGCACAAAAGGCGCAACTCACTTTGCACGAAAAACCGTTGATCGTGATTGTTCCGAGACGATCATCCATCACCTGTTGCTGGTGCAGAAATATACACAGCATCACGAGTCTCAGATGGAAATTCATGACATTGTGCTTCAGTTAAAATCCAGCACTGTGCTGAGTAATTTTCAGAATCATATTTATAAGTTAATAAAGTTTACAAATGGTGTTGTGTACCATATGATTTCAGTCCCAGGGTTAGAGTTGTATTACAGTAGCATTATCATAACCAAGATGTGGAAGTAACAGTGATCATTTTTACACGAAGGTTAGTCGGCTTTGCTGCCCATTGTTTGATGTTCCTGCCCCACTACCTTTGAAATAAGCACAAAGAGTTTATTATTTCCATATTTAGTATTTTACAAGCCTTTATTTTAATTTTAAAAATATTATCCAAACATAATCTTTTTGACTGCTATATTCCATATTCCAACTTTCCCTTTGTGTCTACACATCTTGAAGCTGTCCTGTACCAGTGTAATAATTGAAACCTTATTGGTAACTGCACTTCTCTGGTTGATGTTTGCAAACATATGTTGTTGACTATGACTGAAAAGGTAAGATTAATGATTCTAACACGAATCTTTTCAATATTTCTTGTTTTTCTTCACTGTCGGGGATAGTTGAAAAATTAACTCTCCAAAGTAAATTTTTTACAATTTTATTTTTGGTCTGATGTCTAGGGATGCATTTCGCAAGGATGCTTTCCCATTGTATCCTTGTCTTTGGCTACATGATCGAGCTTAAACTTGTGACCACGGTGAAAGAGGTCTGGGAAAGAGTAGATTATAGGAAAGGGAATTACAGGAGGATAAGAGAATATCTGGGAGAAGTGCAGTGGGAAGAAGAACTAAGAGGAAAAACAGTGCAAGATATGATGGACTTAGTCAAGTGGAAATGCAAGGAGGCTGAAAAGTTTTATACCAACAGTAAAAGAAAAAAGTAGGTTCAATTTTTCAACCCTCAGGAAAAGGCTTAAAAATTTGCGACAAGGCTAGTCCCAGAGTTGCATGGGATGGGATATGAAGAGCGACTGAAGGAACTGAACCTGACGATGTTAGAAAAAAGGAGGGAGCGGGGATATATGATTGCAGCATACTTAGGGGGTTGACAGAGTGGAAATGGAAGAAATGTTTACAGGAAATACCAACAGAACAAGGGTACATGGGTGGAAGCTGGAAACTCAGATGATTCATAGAGATGTTAGAAAGTTTTCTTTTAACGTGAGAGTAGTAAGGAAATGGAATGAACTAAAGGAGCAGGTTGGGGAAGCAAACACTATTCATAGCTTTAAAACTAGGCATGATAGAGAAGTAGGACAGGAGTCATTGCTCTAAACAACTGAAGCTAGAAAGGCGGGATCCAAGAGCCAATGCTCAATCCTGCAGGATCAAATAGGTTAGTACACACATACAGGTATACAGTATATAAAGTGAGACTGTCTGTATGCCTTTTTGAGGTTGGGGGCCAGATGTTTGGGGCTAGTCTTGCTAAAGTGTGTAAAGACATTTGTGATTGTATGGCGAGTGTCATAGGATGGTTGGGGTTGACCCCTCATGCTCTTCTTGAAGTAGGAATGGCTTCTGTTGCAACAACCAACTTGTCCTATGCGTCTAAAATGTGGGTTTGATTATCTATGGTGTGTGTTCCAACTTATTTCTCGTCCGTTACTGACGTTGATTCAATGTTGATAACCTTGATTCAACATTGATAGCATTGGTTCATTGTTTATAACATTGGTTCAATGTTGATAACATTGATTCAACATCAGTAACGTTGATTTATTGTGATTGGTGTTGGTTCAACATTACTTGAGCATGTTTTGCCTACTGGGAGAGAGAACAGGAGGACTAAAGGGAGAGAGGGAGGATGGGAGACTGTGAGGTGGGGAGAGGGGGAGGATGGGAGACTGAGAGGTGGGGAGAGAGAGAGGATGGGAGACTGTGAGGGAGAGAGGATGGGAGACTGTGAGGGAGAGAGAGAGGGAGACTGGGAGGGAGAGAGAGAGGGAGACTGGGAGGGAGAGAGAGAGGGAGACTGGGAGGGAGAGATAAAATAATGTAGCCCCAGGTTGTGCACCTTTGCGGAATTATCTCGTAATTTAATATGCAGTACTGTATAGCTATTGTCATAGATGACACCTAATTTTGTCTATATTAATTAGACTATTCAAGTACCTTACCCATATAGATACATTATATATCATGACAGCCTTATATTTTCTAACAGTAATTTCTGTTATTGTTTGTGATTATTTGACCGAGTTCAATTTTGAATTTTTTGAAGTTTGAAAATACAGTACTGCCAATGTAACAGGATTTCTCAGTGCATGAAGTGTTGTAATAGTGCTTGAATCTCATAATGTGGTTAAAAATTGCTGCTGTGCATAATTATTTTGTGCTGTATGCCTAATATGTCGGTGTATAGCACGTTACATACAAAATGACCGCATCAGCATATTGTGTTTCAAAACACGTTAAACAATATTATACAAAAGAAACAAGGTACCGGGTACTTGAAGTGAAGGTGAGAAACAGGTTCATGTAGTGAAGGTGGAAAACGGGTTCATGCAGTGAAGGTGGAAAACGGGTTCATGCAGTGAAGGTGGAAAATGGGTTCATGCAGTGAAGGTGGAAAATGGGTTCATGCAGTGAAGGTGGAAAATGGGTTCATGCAGTGAAGGTGGAAAACGGGTTCATGCAGTGAAGGTGGAAAACGGGTTCATGCAGTGAAGGTGGAAAACGGGTTCATGCAGTGAAGGTGGAAAACGGGTTCATGCAGTGAAGGTGGAAAATAGGTTCATGCAGTGAAGGTGGAAAACGGATGCGTGCGGTGAACGCAATACGTCAGCCAGTTAAGGCTCGGGTGCCTTTGTTTACGTATTGTAGTCAACAGACTCGTCTCAATGGTTTGTATTTGACATGGACCTTTGCTCTTCATTAGATAGCATCTGTTTTTATTTGTAAAATACTTAATATGTTGAAGGTATTTGAGCCCATTGCTTACTGTAGTTAAGTTGCTTGAAGTTTGTGCTCCCTGAGGACCACTTGATATCGCTGAGGCCCAGCCCGTCTCGGGTGTCATCAGGGAGAGTTGTTGAACTCTGTTCTCTCTTCATATTTTATAATGAAACATGTAAACGGACGAGTCAACCGTGTCTCGAAATTGGCAGCTGTATTGTATAATAGAAACATCGTGTCAGGAATTTTGTGACAAGTTCAGATGTCTATTATACATTATTTAAACAAAGTTATTTTATATGCATATTTTTGTATGCTTCTTTTTATACAATTGGACTTGCAAGATACAATCTCAAGGTATTTTTTGTTAGAGATTATGCAGTTAATATAATTGTATACAATATTTATATAGAGAAGAAATTTGGATTTAATGTATTTTTGAAGGTAATTATGTCCCAACAAGCTGCAGTTATATAGTGAATTGCTAAAGAACTTTACATTGATAATAACTTGGCTACATTCAAGGCACTGGGATGGTTACCTTGAGGTTACCTTGAGATAATTTTGGGGCTTAGCGTCCCCGTGGCCCGGTCCTTGTTCAGGCCTCCTGGTTGCTGGACTGATCAACCAGGCTGTTGGACGCGGCTGCTCACAGCCTGACATATGAATCACAGCCTGGTTGATCAGGTATCCTTTGGATGTGTTTATCAAGTTCTGTCTTAAACACTGTGATGGGATACTTAGGTCCCAACACTAAAGGATACTTAATGAGTTGATTCAGATGCTCCGAAGTGTATTATATACTTCCAGAGTGAGAATGTGTATTCCATTTTTGTCCAGTACTTTGTGCAAAAAATGGTCAGATCGCTTGAATTAGTTCTTGTTATGGAAATTGTATAAATAGAATATTTAGGGTAATTAACTTTAAAAAATACACTTGATTTACAATTACTTATTTGGACCACTTCAATATTTAATGAGATAAAGCAGTGAATTTAGGACTGTCATTTTGACTTCATTTCTAATTGATTATGTTTTGTACATGTGGCGGGTGTTCACGAGGTGTTCTCTTCCCGGTCCCCCTTTGTGTGTGTGGTACATGTGGCGGGTGTTCACGAGGTGTTCTCTTCCCGGTCCCCCTTTGTGTGTGTGGTACATGTGGCGGGTGTTCACCAGGTGTTCTCTCCCCTGGTCCCCTTTGTGTGTGTGGTACATGTGGCGGGTGTTCACCAAGTGTTCTCTTTCCCCCTTTGTGTGTGTGGTACATGTGGCAGGTGTCACCCCTTCCAAGTCCCCCTTTGTGTGTGTGGTGCATGTGTAGGTGTTCACCAGGGTGTTCTTTGTGTGTGTGGTACATGTGGCAGGTGTTCTCTTCCCGGTCCCCCTTTGTGTGTGTGGTACATGTGGCAGGTGTTCACCAAGTGTTCTCTTCCCAGTCCCCCTTTGTGTGTGTGGTGCATGTAGTAGGTGTTCACCAGGTGTTCTCTCCCCTGGTCCCTCTTTGTGTGTGTGGTACATGTGGCAGGTGTTCTCTTCCCGGTCCCCCTTTGTGTGTGTGGTACATGTGGCAGGTGTTCACCAAGTGTTCTCTTCCCAGTCCCCCTTTGTGTGTGTGGTGCATGTAGTAGGTGTTCACCAGGTGTTCTCTCCCCTGGTCCCTCTTTGTGTGTGTGGTACATGTGGCAGGTGTTCACCAGGTGTTCTCTCCCCTGGTCCCCCTCCTCGTCTGTGTGTGGGGTACGTGTGGAGGGTGTTCACCAGGTGTTCTCTCCCCTGGTCCCCCTCCTCGTCTGTGTGTGGGGTACATGTGGAGGGTGTTCACCAGGTATCGTGCTGGGGCTGCACACTTAAAACCTGTCGTATGCTACACCACCATTCACCGGAGTATCATATGGTGGTATAAACTATCCAGGGATGTTATTGAAACAAAATCAGTTGACTCGCAATGGCTAAACCTTTTATATTATTCTTTGTTTAAAATAAAGGGTTTTGTTGCGTGAAAGAGCTGCACTTGATACATTATTTCAAAGCACACAGGAGAACCACATTTCCACATTAAGGGGAATCATCGTTTGCGTGTGTACTCGCCTATTTTACCTGTTTGTTATTGTTATGAATGTAAGTGAACATTCATGTTTGAATACACTATAATTTTTTTTCAAGAGGGTGGGGGAGTGCATCTAAAAAATAGGCTTATCATTTTCTTCTTGTTCTTCTTGTTCTTCTTCTTGTTCTTCTTCTTGTTCTCTTCCTCCTCCTTCTCCTCCTCCTTCTCCTCTGTCACCTATAAGCTATTTTATCCCATATTGGCTCTTGAATCTTGAATATTCTGTTATTGCATTTAGTTTGTGGAGGTGAGAAATCTTTAAATTAATGCCAATTTTTAATCAAGTTTATACTATCTTCCTGGCAGCAGCAGCAATAGTGAACCTCCTGTATATAAATGGTTTTCAAATTATAAGATGGCTAACTCTAATATAATTCTTTAACCAAAGATAATTATTTTTAAACTATTTAATCCTAAACGCTAGTATTCATGTATTTGTTCATAATTATATGGTAGTGTTTGAGAATAGCATCCAAAAGTCTGTGAAAGTTTTCTTAATAATGTATATTCTTTATTGGGAATGACTATTTCTTAAAAATGATTTAGAATTCATCATTTTATCAAGTATGTAGAATTACAGTACATTTCAATGTTAAATTACTGTATTAGAGCTCAAGTAATGTAAACATAACACACATAGTTGGTGGTTTATTATAGTCGAGCTTGTATCCAACACTGATGTTGATCCGACAGCGAGGCACCAAATTGGAGTGGTGTAACCTGTACTTTAATAAATCATTTGATGAGAAATGAAATGTGAATTTTCAAATTGTAAATTGCTCAATGTCTGTAGTTAACAAATGCAAATTGTAAGTAATTCTTAATTCTTGAACTCGGTTGTTCCATACCTTCACGCAGTCTTGCCCAAACATTGTAAACTTTACGGATGGTGGAGAGGCCAGCATCCTTAAAGTTTGGTTAGGGAGTCTCCTGAAGCATATACAAGAGAAAATGCAAGTTGCACAGTAACAGTGAAAGGAGGGGAAAAAAAAAACGAAATGGATAAACAGCTTTCGCCAAGACACTCATGTGGAGGAGGCCACGAAGGTGACCACTGTCAATGGTGCAGTGTGGCCGGCCAATTCTGCAGTGTGCCCAAGTGCCGCACTCCTTGAACTGTTTTTATCAACCCGTCCTCTTAAAAATAACGTCACTTTTGGCTCGTATGCGCACTATGGCCAAATTTGGACGTAATTTGAAATGAAATCGACTCACAAAAGTGACGTTCTGTTCTGTTTTCTATTTGAGTCGTCCGGCTTACGCGCAGAGGTTATAAGAGGACACTTTAAATTAACGTTTTGAAACTTTATGAGAATTTCCTGCTCACCTAACCTATCAGAGGACCCTTAACTTACTGTTGTTGAAAAAAAATATCCCAAATTTATTTTCATTTCTTTTTCAATTTCAAATTACGTCCAAATTCGGCCATACGGGCAAACGGCCAAAAGCTACATTCTTTTTAAGAGGACAGGTTGTTTTTATATGGTCAAATATCTAGGATGGAAGTGTTTATCACTATCGCCAAACTAAAGTTGTAAATGGTGTAAAATAAATACCAGTGCTTTACTGTACCTTCTACTCTAAATTGCATCACTAGCTAGTACCATCAGCCTGGATGCTAATATCACCACTTACAAGCACTGGCTTAGTCCTTTCATTTGGCATTTACTTAACCACACACACTAGCATTACAAAAAGTTAGTAGCACCATAATATAGCCATACTAGTTTAGCACTTTGTTTGAATAATTACTTAGTAGTATCACATGAAGCAAATATTGCTACCTGTTAGTATCACACAAAGTTTACACTATCATATATGGTACTAGTATCAAAGGAAACTAGTACCAATACACGAACATCACAGGAAGCAAGTACCACCACATGTTAGCATCAAAGGAAGCTAGTGGTACCATACTAGCATCACAGGAAGCTAGTAGCACCATACTAGCATCACAGGAAGCTAGTGGTACCATACTAGCATCACAGGAAGCTAGTAGCATCATACTAGCATCACAGGAAGCTAGTGGTCACAGGAAGCTAGTACCATACTAGCATCACAGGAAGCTAGTGGCACCATACTAGCATAGTACCATACTAGCATCACAGGAAGCTAGTACATCACAGGAAGCATGGCACCATACTAGCATCACAGAAAGCTAGCATATAGCATCACAGGAAGCTAGTGGCACCATACTAGCATCACAGGAAGCTAGTACCATACTAGCTAGCATCACAGGAAGCTAGAAGTACCATACTAGCATCACAGGAAGCTAGAAGGTACCATACTAGCATCACAGGAAGCTAGAAGTACCATACTAGCATCACAGGAAGCTAGTGGTACCATACTAGCATCACAGGAAGCTAGTGGTACCATACTAGCATCACAGGAAGCTAGTGGCACCATACTAGCATCACAGGAAGCTAGTAGCATCATACTAGCATCACAGGAAGCTAGTAGCATCATACTAGCATCACAGGAAGCTAGAAGTACCATACTAGCATCACAGGAAGCTAGAAGTACCATACTAGCATCACAGGAAGCTAGAAGTACCATACTAGCATCACAGGAAGCTAGAAGTACCATACTAGCATCACAGGAAGCTATACCACCGTACACTAGTAAACTATCCAGAGTGGTATTTCTGTAATTTCGTTGGCGTGAAGTTTTCCGTGTTGTGTATGGCTAAAGCCATTGTAATTTCCTGATATAGTACACTTGTGGTTTTGTGCAGGAATGTGTTCCCAGGACCTTGTGTTTAGTAAGCAAACTGCTTAGTATTATAATTTTGTCAAGATCTTATGGGATAAAAATTGAATGTATAACAGAACCAAAAATGCTATTACATAAATTGTGTACAATAAAATTTTAGGATTTATTTATAATAAAAATATGAAGTCAATGTAACATTTTTACTCTCAAATTTTAAGGTCTTTTAACACAACAGTGCAAAATATAATTTTATTTTGGCATAAACAAGTAATTTATTTGTTGTGTAATGATTGAAGTTAAATGTCTGTCCTCCATTCCGCAAAATTAGTTCTTAAATTTGAGAATCAATATCTTAAGTATTTAATGCAAATTTGTAGAAGACCTGGATGAAGCACGGAATTGACTGAATGGCATCATTACACAGACTTTAGTAAAAACTGATCACTGACCTTACTAAAGTTCTCAAATACTGTCTATATAAAGTTCCCGACCACAACACCTGAAAATTATTGCACTACTAAAATAATGATTTAATAAGAATTAGCACTGTATTTCAATTGATTGATTTTTAGTTTACTGTACTGTACTTTGAAAATTTTATTTTTAAAACACGTCAGATGAGCACAGTTACCACCATGTTGGTGGTAACTTTACGAATTAAGCAGATAAGTGTTATAAGTTGAAAACAGCTGAGCATTACCGATTTGTTTTGCTAATTCTTCATTATTTTGGCCCCGACTGTCCTGTGATCAGAAAAATCAGTTTAGCAGCTGGATGTTATCTCATATCTCCATATGTATAGTAGGAAAGTCATTGCTGTTTAATCTTTGTAGTGTTTTGTCTTTTTAGTTTAGCTATTTAAGCCATTCAACTACGTATTCTCAGGTACAGTAGTTGAACATTAAATGAAGCGTGTCGACTAAAATCTAGGTTCGTTCCGATTTCCTTGGTTAGCATTGTGTTGATCTATGTCAACTTTGAAACTATACATTGTTTTGGGTAATTTCATTCTTTGTGAAACAAATTTTAATATGTACCTTACCTTGAGGTTACCTTGAGGTGCTTCCGGGGCTTAGCGTCCCCGCGGCCCGATCGTCGACCAGGCCTCCTGGTTGCCGGACTGATCAACCAGGCTGTTGGACGCGGCTGCTCGCAGCCTGACGTATGAGTCACAGCCTGGTTGATCATGTATATTGCACATCAGGTTCACAGTGCTAAGTAGCGTGTTAAAGTGACCCGAAAGTTATGTAAAGTTTCAGAGGAAAAAAATGTTGATCAGTTGCATTTTCTAAGTTATGCAGGAAATTCTAGAAGTTTACTTAATGTAGGATGTTACGTACTTACCTGAGTGCATTTACAAATGGAGTTCCTTTTACTTTATAGTTTGCAAGCCAACAGCAATGAATTTTATTTTCTTATGCAAAAAAAATGTTAGTGTGTAATCAAGATTAAAATAAATGTTTATGTAATTGCTTTAAGTGTAAAAATGATAATATTGTTGCTGATGAGGCACTGTTAAGTCACTTATGGAATACAAGTGTAACCATGTCGCTTGTTTAATTTGTCTTTTATTGGTGTTTATGTGAGTCGTATGGAAACCTTAAATGAAATGCGAAGGTGAAAACTAAGAGAAGAAATCATTTGAATAAAACAAAACAAAACAAAAAATTCTTGTGGGAATAACATTAATTTACATTTGCAGGCGATGAGTCACAATAACGTGGCTAAAGTATGTTGACCAGACCACACACTAGAAGTTGAAGGGACGACGACGTTTCGGTCCGTCCTGGACCATTCTCCAGTCGATTGTTGTCAAGTCGATTCAAATCGACTTGAGAATGGTCCAGGACGGACCGAAACGTCGTCGTCCCTTCAACTTCTAGTGTGTGGTCTGGTCAACATTAATTTACATTTGTCTTCAAAACTTTATAGTTTTAGAGCAGTTACTAACTCATGATCTGTGACAACCCTGTAATGTACAGAGAGAGAGAGAGAGAGAGACAGAGATAATATTGATAATATTGATTTATCTTTGAGAAATAATAGTTTTATGTAAAAACTTCTTGCCTGTGTATTGGATTGGGATACTGTACTTGGGAAATTATTGTGCTTGGAAGCCAATTTTGCCATTGTTTGCTAAGTATATTTGTGTACATTATGACACAATTTATACTCATACAGGAAGCATTTTATATAGAACGTTAAATTCATTTAATAATCTATTGTATGTGATCAAGAATACAGTAAAATTTTGAGAGAATATTGAAGCTGTATGATGGGATCGAACCCACATTCCTGGACTCCACAAGTTATCTATTATTGATACTGCTGTTTATATTCACGGCAAAGAACCTGGATTATTTTCAGTAACTTACCTGAGCTCAAGAGCCATAAAATAGCAAAGGTAACCCTTTACAATGTAATGCCTATACACTGCTACATTGGAATACTGCTTGAATGTACCCTGCAAAGTGTCTTACTTGATTACTATATGCAGTACATATTTGTGTGTACTCTGAAGGCTTAATGTCTGCTCTGATGTTACTCTGATTTATTTAGTCCTTAATAGTATTTTCCTTGGTTGTAGTTTACTGGAACATCTACATGTATTTTGGTGGTAATGTCCCCCAGAAATGGGCTCCTTAGTCTGATTTCTATTCTGTTATTCATAACACAATTTGCAACCATTGGAAGGATAGACGGTTAGGTATTACAGGTCGCTGTGTACTATTGTGTCCTTCCTCCTACCACCATAACGGGGGGTGGGAAATGGCTCAGGAAGAAAATTTGCGTTGCTCTTAGAACTATATTGCCTCACTTAGCCATAGAATGTCCTGATTTTCAGTTTAGTTAAGTACATTTATTATGCCCGATACCTGCCGGGAGCCGGTCGGCCGAGCAGACAGCACGCTAGACTTGTGATCCTGTGGTCCCGGGTTCGGTCCCGGGCGCCGGCGAGAAACAATGGGCAGAGTTTCTTTCACCCTATGCCCCTGTTACCTAGCAGTAAAATAGGTACCTGGGTGTTAGTCAGCTGTCACGGGCTGCTTCCTGGGGGTGGAGGCCTGGTCGAGGACCGGGCTGCGGGGACACTAAAAATCCCTGAAATCATCTCAAGATAACCTATCCAGTGGGTGGTAGTGGGAAGGTTACATACGTGTACAATGGGCTCGAGAACCTAACCCCAAAATTCATTTAGTTATGCAAATTATTGTCTTGGTGAGCTAGTTACAGTTTAGTTTATTTTGTCAACACTGTAATGAGTTTGAGAATGACCACAAGCACAGTCTAACTAAGCAACTTATATGTATGTTGAGCTAGTTTCATAATTTGATTTGCTTATTATGTACATCACTTCCCTACCCAATGGGTAGCAGCGGAAAGGTTAAAATCAATCACCCACATTTTCTACCTACACTTAGCAAACGGGATATTTGGCTAAAATTTCTCGTACTACTGTAGATCATTTTGAATTTAATATTTATACATTTCTTGACCATTTATTACAGGGCTGTCTCTAAACTTCTGTATGTTTTTGCACTTTATCCCTTAGTGACAAAGAGAGTGCATATAATTTTGCTGATAGTTTATATTTGGTTGGGTTTATGTCGGCAGATAACGCAAATTCTCAGAGGTACTTATAATGGAGTCTAAGCTGAGCAGCAGTAATACCTTGCAGTCTGCTGTTGGCTGATCCACAGACATACGGCTATTCTTGCCTGGTAGTATGATGATAGATGAAATTATTTGTGTAGCTTTCACTTTGCCTCAGATCTACAAGGTTTTGTTGAAGTTCTTCGTGTATTGTTGTTCTTAGGTTGCTTATAGGCAATCCAAGGTCATAATCAACTTCTCAGAAGGCAGGTTCTTTAGTTAACTCATCAGTTGTATCATGCATTCAGAGACCAACACACGATGGAATCCACACGAAATGGAATTCGTTACCATCATTGATCATTTTGTTGTGTTTGTTGTCGAGCATGTTACATTTGTATCTTAAAGAGTTAAAGAGGAATGAAAGATGATAAAGAATCACTTAACAAGTGATGTGTAAAGTTTGGAGGCCTTTACACATTTAAGTTTTTTTTTTATTATTATTATTTTTTTACCACAGACGTGGCCAGACATTTACAATGCTAACCAGCATATATACATTTTCTTCTGTCCTCCATGGACAGGGTGAAAGATTTGTCAAACATACAGTTCAGAGATTTATTGAACAACCACAGAAGGTGATCGTAGTGCTTTTAAAATGTTAGGCTAAGCACACACATTTAAGTACAAGTATGACAAATAGTATGTCTGAAGGGTAGAGGTCCTTTGTATATATATATATATATATATGGATTCTTCCAATCAATATATGAGCATTTCAGAATGATTGGAAATCTTGCTTTCCTAATATTACTTTATTAAAATCCTTGGTGAATCTGGTACCTTGGCATTGCTTACGTTTCTTAATGCTTTCATATTGACATCCAGAAAGATATCTATAAATATTTTACTGTTCCAAATAGTCTTGCTTGGTGCCTTCTCTTAATTATTTGGTGATATGAAGATAAATTAATATTTGTGTCTAGATTAATAGACAAATCACTAATGTGAACTTTTTTAAGAACTGAAAAAATGTACAGTACAGTACTATATGCTGTTGTACCAGTTGCTATTTTGATTCCATCTGCTGTTCTTAATAAAATAATTGCATTTATCAGGGAGCCGGTCGGCCGAGCGGACAGCACGCTGGACTTGTGATCCTGTGGTCCCGGGTTCGATCCCAGGCGCCGGCGAGAAACAATGGGCAGTTTCTTTCACCCTATGTCCCTGTTACCTAGCAGTAAAATAGGTACCTGGGTGTTAGTCAGCTGTCACAGGCTGCTTCCTGGGGGTGGAGGCCTGGTCGAGGACCAGGCCGCGGGGACACTAAAAAGCCCTGAAATCATCTCAAGAATCATTGTTGAGCAGATAAATAATTTAAAATAATTTACAGTTGCTTACAGTTCTTACAGGAATTCACAATTTAACAAAAAATGTGACTATGTATCTCACATAACTCACAATTTGTACATTTATTTTGTAACATCTTTAACCTTCAAAATAGTAGTTTGAGTAATTCTACCTAGTGTTAAGTGTTAACCTATCAAGACTAATACAGTACAGTACTTGTAGTTCGTATTCAGTCTTGATTGAGAATGGCTAGCATCATGAAATACGTTCAGCTTCAACATTTGGTTTGATATTGGGCTTAATGTTTATCATTCTCTGGGGGTTATCTTGAGATGATTTCGGGGCTTAGCGTTCCCACGGCCCGGTCCTTGACCAAGCCTCCTTTTTGTTACACATCCCCAGGAAGCAGCCTGTAACAGCTGTCTAACTCCCTGGTACCTATTTACTGCTCGGTGAACAAGAGCATCAGGGTGAAAGAAACTCTGCCCATTTGTTTCCGCCTCCACCGGGGATCGAACCCGGAACCTCAGGACTGCGAAACCCGAGTGCTGTCCACTCACTTCAGCTGTCAGGCTCCTTATTATTCTTATTGAGATAATTACTTTCAGTGTATATCCACTGAGAAATGGAGCACACCTCTATGTATACACCCATTTTATCTTAAATATTTTCACAGTACAGTATTTTCATTTACTAATTAATTTATTATATACATTGTATTAATTTCTTAGAAGAGGACATATACGTCATTCGCATTGCTGGTACAGTGTTTAAGTTGGGGAAATTTATTGTTAATTATATAGGCAAACTATATTGCAATCTATTTAATATACAGTACCTTAATATGAAGAGCCTTTAAGTTACTTTGTCTGATTAAATGTACAATTAAAGTACTGTAATTATTTATATCAATTATAAAATCTACTGTACAAAACTAAGTAACCACTGTAATAACATCTTATTAATAAAATATTATTATAATTGTGTCGTACTATGAAAATGAGAGGCTGTACTGTACAATTAAATATACACATGCATAAATAAAAAAACTTCTCGGGCATCATGCCAAAATAGATCTACTCGAGATTTTTTTTTTTTTTTTTTTTTTTTTAGATATATACAAGAGTTGTTACATTCTTGTACAGCCACTAGTACACGTAGCATTTCAGGCGGGTCCCTGGAATACGATCCCCGCCGCGAAGAATCATTTGAAATGCAGTCACCTCTCACCATTTTCTACATGCATTCACTTAGTTGTGCTTGCGGGGGTTTGAGCTCTGGCTCTTTGGTCCCGCCTCTCAACCATCATTCTACTGGTGTACAGATTCCTGAGCTTCTCATGCTCCATCTTATCTTGAGATGATTTCGGGGCTTTTTAGTGTCCCCGTGGCCCAGTCCTCGACCAGGCCTCCACCCTCAGGAAGCAGCCCGTGACAGCTGACTAACACCCAGGTACCTATTTTACTGCTAGGTAACAGGGGCATAGGGTGAAAGAAACTCTGCCCATTGTTTCTCGCCGGCGCCTGGGATCGAACCCAGGACCACAGGATCACAAGTCCAGCGTGCTGTCCGCTCGGCCGACCAGCTCCCCCATAACTACATTTGAATCTGTGTATGGAGGCAGCCTCCACCACTTTACTTCCTAGTGCAGTGACATGTATGTTACTGTTGCAGTGCAAGAAGCTAATTGTTGTTAGCTATAATTCTTGTTACGTTGCTTGTAGATAAATTTTAAATGTTAGTGTAAAATCTGTGCAGAGATCTGGGCAAGACCTTTTGTGCCCTCTGTAACCCTCTTGTGCTATCACTCACAGGATGAGTATGTGGGGTGAGCAATTAACAAGCCACCACTGGTGGCAACAATTATAGTTTACTGTGTCGGGGGACAGGAAGCCAGAGTGTATTCATACACGTTAGGATTTTATCTATGCCCCTCCCCCAAGGCCGAATTACTGACTGCCCAATATGCAACCCCACAACAAGCTGATTAACTCCTGAGTACCTACTTGCTGCTAGGTGAACAGAGGCATTAGGTGAAAGGAAATGTACCCAACCATTTCAGTTCCACCTATGATTCGAACCTGGAATTCTCAATTGTGCATCGAGAACGAACCCGACTGTACTACCTGTACTACCCGGACCCAACTGATTAAATATCAGTTGTTGAAAATTGCCCGCCAACTACAGTATAGCTGTGATAAAAAAAAAGTAAATCAAGAACTTGAAATATTCAAAGAACTCTTCTTGACTTGAAGGAAAATAGTGGTCATTCATAACTACCAAGTACGTAATGGGACTGTAAGAAACACAGTTTTTAAATATACCTTAATTAATACAATATAATATGACTTAACCAGGTGATAACAGTATGCTCAAGTAACCTTAACTGAACGTAGAATCAACATTACCAACTTTGATTCAATATAACATTAATGTCACTAGCAAATTCTCTGATTCAGGGGTACCAAAAGGTTTTTCTTATGTGTACATTAGTTATGTATTTAATCCCTAATGAATCTGACAAATTATGTCATGTATGCATTCAAGTTTTCATATTTTGATTAATGGTAATGAAAATTAAAATATAATATTAAAATTTATTAGTTAAAGCTATCATTTGCTGCCGGTGCTACATAGTCTTGATGGGTTTATTGCCATCTTTTAATATTTTCATTTGCTGCAAAACCACATGAATTTTGCCCAAAACGCTACATGTCAACATTATTAGTGACTGTACAAAATATAAATACTATGTAGACATTGTATTCACATCCCCTTGTCTGATGATGACCCTCTCGGAAACATATAATAAAAACATTGAACTAAGTTTTTAGCCGAGGGCCGCCATCTCTAGTAGCCTGGATATGGACGAGGTCAACGTGTTTAGAATGTTTAAATACTTTATACAGTTTGTAGTTCGTATAGTATATAATTTGTACTTCTTTGACTACATATTTACATTAATTTTATCACAAGTATTGACCAACTTCTTGTGGATAGTGGGTCTTGTCACATGTGAAAGTCTACGCATGTGCTGTAGAAGTTCTAGTCTGTGTGTATGCAATTGATTGATTGTTGAAGGTGTAGCGAGTTGTTGTTAAAGCTTTAGCTACTCAGGACGAAGTGTCCATGTAGCACGGGCTATGGTGAGCCCGTAATTGAGTTTGGTTATACATGATAACCTTTTTCCTGTGATGTGTAGTGAGTAGATTATCCCAATAATATACTCGCTCCAAAGGTAAGCCACCCAAGAGGTGACACGGGCATGAATAGCCCGTAATGTATACAATACATGTCTTTGTGTTATAGGAGCCCCACACACCCTTGCTTGGGTGGCCCTGCAGGGGGCACTACTCATACCATCATCAGCGGCTCCAGAGCCATTTTGTCCTCCAAGATAGCAGCTGCCAGCTGCTGCTGGTGATGGGGAAGGATGTAGCGCCGGTGCTCCACTAATAGGTCGATGTTGGCGTCTGCCTCACACTGTTTGTTCTCTACTTCTTTTGTAACTTTGGTATGCGGTTTTGTTTTCTCTGTTAGTGTCTTCTCCGTCTGCGATACTTCCGTCTCCGTGTGCAAGCTGTGCAGGATTAATATGCACGTTACTAAGTTGTTGTAAGCAACTATTAGTTTAAAGCTGTGCATCTAAATTAATCAGTGTTCCATTAACCCAATAATGTATGCGTACCTCAAAGCTACAAGTGCGCTTCTCGGGGCATAAATGTACCCCCAACCTGAGAGCCATAATGACAATTGTTGCTCTTCGCTGCAAAACATAAGACTTACCTGACGACGAACACTCGACGGTAATTCCTGACGAGGTCCTGTTCGAGTAATCTCTTAAGAGCTGCTGTCAAGAGGCTAGTGTGGTGTCTTTTGGCAGGAGGGACCCCATCCATAGCTGTCAGGAGAGTAAACACACAAGATCATTTAGTTTGGCGCGAGAGACGCCCTCACCAGTGGGCACTAGGCAGAGGACGGTATCACTTATGTCGTGGTTTCCGCTGTTGAGGACAAAAAGCGCATTTTACCTGACTTTATCTGAGGGCAACTATCTCCAAAGTGGCCTCAACGGGGACTGGAAGCCGACGGCTTTTCAAAGGTCCTCCCATTGAGGATTTGTCTATCTGTATTTTTAAACTGAAGTAATGTTAGGTTTATCGAGGTCTTCCCTATGTACCAATGGTTTCGAATTTTTGTTTTACTAGCCCTATTTTGTAATATTCAAAAGACCTGTAAACCCCCCCGCCTCTGCCACACGTCATAATTGAAAAAATCATAATTAAGATACTTGCAAATTCTCGATTACTCAGACATACTAGTACTCTGAATTTAGGTTCAGAGACTCACCAGAAAACATTTATCTACCACGGGTTGAGAACCACTGCCTTGAACCAACGTTTTCCAGAATGCGACCCACTACAGTCAACTAACTCCCAATAACCTATTTATTACTGCCAATGGTCATCAGAAACACAACCCGTTTATGACTGAAAAACGGTTTACACACGACTCGCATCTGATTTCGTTCGAACACTTCTGGAACAAGTGCTTCACTGACGAATTTTGTTCGAACCACAACGCTGTAAATGCTTCACACATATACTACAAATACAAATAATCGCCAACAGAACCTAAACACCTAACCTAACCTATGCCTATATATCCACAATATGCTAATATATTATAATATTAATTTATATTTGAGAAAATTCCCGTTTTGACTGAACAGAATGTAAAAATTTATGAATGCGTCTGTGGGGTCGACCGCTGGATGGAATGGACTTGAGTCGAGGACGGGTTGGAACTACGAGTCTCACCGTACCAGTACCCAGAACTAACACCCCAAATGCTATTCCTCCTATCTCATTAAGCAGCTACCTTGCTTGACAGATTACTGTCTTTCACTACGCCACTACTCTTCCACAATACCATACTCTCATTACCTTCCACAATCTCATACTTTCTTTAACATTACTATAATAACTTCACTAATAAAGGAATATGTGCTAGTAGGTTTGCAAGAAGCACTATTTACACTTTTTACAAAAAACTATACATCCTTGTAAATGTTTAGGTACTGGCATATTTGTCCTCATTCGTTCACCTTCGAGACATTCTAGAGTGTACCAACAGTCTCACCTTGGTCAGCTCGGCCCTCCAGCACTGCCTTCATGACGGCGGTGAGCGCTGGGGACACCACCAACACAACCCTCCTGGAGGCGCTGCTGGAGGCGGCGGCGAGGTGCCCCAGCAGACACTGGCACGGGTCGCTTGTCTGCTCCACCTTCCCAACCTTGTCGTATATATCGTACACCTGCGGGCACAACAATCACGCCTAGAGTCAGAAAGAGCCACATTCTCCGGCCAACTACCAGTTAGTTGAGTGTAATTGATACTAGGATACGCTAAGAGTACCTTCTCTCGACTTGGTCTCATTATCAGACGAAAAGTTTTATTTGGGAGAATTAGCCAGAGGCATATGTGTGTACTGTGGTATATTGGCTGTGTAACAGCCCAGCTGAGCACAGAACCTACCTGGCATCCCAGGTGGTGAGTGAGCCAGGTGGCTAGGCGAGCCACCTGCCGGAGGTTTGATGGGTCGTCTTCAGCGTACAGGAGCACTATAGTTAGCCGCTGCTGCTGCTGCCGCTGCTGTTGCTGCTGCTGCTGCTGGTGGTGGGGCACCTTGCTCAACTCCGCCTCCTGACGATGGCCACCAGGTATTATCCGGCACCTGAAATAAATGGCCGCCGCCAGACCGCCCTGGACAGCAGCTACGCCCACCACGCCCAGGCCCACCCATCCTGTCAACCACCTATAGAGAAACACGGTATGTTGTGCGTTATAGATTATCAAGTTAATATACTATTACTGTGACATGAATAGCACAGAGCAGCCTATCATCTTTACGTTGTAATTGTGGCATAATGTGTCATTACAAGACGTCAAGAACGCGTAAACATTCTTAAGAATTCCTAATACTCTTTTTACTTTAGCCAAGTATAGTATTAATACATCGAAAACGCACAAGGCTTAGTCCCAGCCTCTTAAAAAGTCTAAACACTGCCTGAACAAAAATTGACGATGAGCACATTCAATATTTCCCTGCTCATACTTTATATTAAGAAAGTTTTAGTTTAGTTCATTTATTATGCACCCCATACCCATCTTGTATACATAACTCAATAAATATTTATGAATAAACACAAAAATATTATTATTATTATTATTTTAATATTATGGAAGAGTCGGTCGGCCGAGCGGACAGCACACTGCACTTGTGATCCTGTGGTCCGGGGTTCGATCCCGGGCGCCGGCGAGAAACAATGGGCAGAGTTTCTTTCACCCTATGCCTCTGTTACCTAGCAGTAAAATAGGTACCTGGGTGTTAGTCAGCTGTCACGGGCTGCTTCCTGGGGGTGGAGGCCTGGTCGAAGACCGGGCCGCGGGGACACTAAAGCCCCGAAATCATCTCAAGATAACCTCAAGATAACCTCAAGATAACCTCAAGATAACCTCAGAGCAAATCAATTACTATGAGAGACCACACCTCCCTCAAACCACCTGTATAGTTATCTAGATATTTGTGAGGGTCTGAAAGCATATTACGGTTCCAGTAATAGTCTACAAGTAAGCTGGCAAGTTAACTCTTGTTCTATATAGAGATTATTATCAAGTTATAACTTTATTGTACTATAAATCGTTGGTTAAAATATAACAGTTGTATGCTGAAAAGGTTTTCTTTGAAGAATTTGACTTGTAAACGGAATTCTTGGGTACACTTAAATAGTTTGTAAATTCCATATGTCACACTGTCGTCAATAATACACCATATTTACATAACCAAACGTAATGAAACATAACCAAAGGTAATGAAACCTAACCCAATCTAAAGTAACCTTAACCTAACCTGACCATGGATAGAGTATAGATGATAGCACTAAATATGTAGTCGTTTTCAATCCATTCCCGTGAGCGGATTTCCTTCTTGAGGACAGGGTTGAAGAGCCTATCCATCAAGATCAATGCCACTAGAGAGAGCTGCCAACACGTATAAATTAAGCTCACACATCCATGCACGTTCAAGTACTGAAGTATTGTTGCCTAGCCTTCGTGCATGTGACAAATACAGATATAAATACATAAAACTATATATTTCAAGATACTCCAGTGAGCATTAAGGCGACCCACCGCAGATACGGACAAAAGACCCACTCGCTCACCCTTTCGGAGACGGCGACGAGGCTGCAGTAGGCGCGGAAGGGTTGAGACAGGTTTTACTCGGGAACTTCCTGATGGAGGACGATAGCTCACAGTTGGGGTCATGACTCACAGGCTGTAGCTGTGGGCAGAAGGCACGTTACTGAGAGGTTGTGAGTGTTGGTGAGAGCAATATATAGAAGACTACGGAAGGCCGATTGGCCCAATACATTCACAATTGGAGGGTCTCGCATTCGATTTAGGAACAGGAAGTTCCTAAACCTAATAAAAGGAGAGGTTACAGTCTGGTTCGTTCTTGACTTACAATCGATAATTCCGGGTTCAAATCCCAGACGGCACAGAAACAGATGGGCGCGTTTCCTTTCTCCTCATGCCCCTGTCCACCTAGCAGTAAATAGGTACCCAGGAGTTAGTATTTGTTGTGGGGTTGCATCCAGTAATTCGACCTTAAGGGGGGAGGAGACCTCGGTATAAGCCTAACATGTACAGTACCTGGCTTCCTGTCTCCCGACACAATCAATGATTATAATTATTAAATCTGGAGCTCCAGATTTTGGAGCGTGTTTCCTTTCATCTGATGCTGCTGTCCGCGAACAGAACAGTGCAGCCCCGCTTCCATTTTACGTACACGAAAGTTTACATTGGTTGTGAACTATATGTCCGGGACCACAGTAAACTGTGTGCAGGACCACGGTAAACTGTGTGCAGGACCACGGTAAACTGTGTGCAGGACCACGGTAAACTGTGTGCAGGACCACGGTAAACTGTGTGCAGGACCACGGTAAACTGTGTGCAGGACCACAGTAAACTGTGTGCAGGACCACGGTAAACTGTGTGCAGGACCACGGTAAACTGTGTGCAGGACCACGGTAAACTGTGTGCAGGACCACAGTAAACTGTGTGCAGGACCACGGTAAACTGTGTGCAGGACCACGGTAAACTGTGTGCAGGACCACGGTAAACTGTGTGCAGGACCACGGTAAACTGTGTGCAGGACCACAGTAAACTGTGTGCAGGACCACGGTAAACTGTGTGCAGGACCACGGTAAACTGTGTGCAGGACCACGGTAAACTGTGTGCAGGACCACGGTAAACTGTGTGCAGGACCACAGTAAACTGAGTGCAGGACCACGGTAAACTGTGTGCAGGACCACGGTAAACTGTGTGCAGGACCACGCTAAACTGTGTGCAGGACCACGGTAAACTGTGTGCAGGACCACGGTAAACTGTGTGCAGGACCACGGTAAACTGTGTGCAGGACCACAGTAAACTGTGTGCAGGACCACAGTAAACTGTGTGCAGGACCACAGTAAACTGTGTGCAGGACCACAGTAAACTGTGTGCAGGACCACGGTAAACTGTGTGCAGGACCACAGTAAACTAACTGTTGGTTAGGTTAGATAGGATTTGGTGATGGCCTTTGTAACCCTCCCGGAGATGTTAATAAGCCATAAGCCCAACACCAAACCATTACCAGGCAAGCACCAGGGCCTCCGACCTGGAGGACCAGCAGCACTTACCAGCCACCACCAGGGCCACTGACCTGGAGGACCAGCAGCACTTACCAGCCACCACCAGGGCCTCCGACCTGGAGGACCAGCAGCACTTACCAGCCACCACCATGGCCACTAACCTGGAAGTACCAGCAGCAAACACTTATCAGCCACCACCAGGGCCACTGACCTGGAGGACCAGCAGCAAACACTTATCAGCCACCACCAGGGCCACTGACCTGGAGGACCAGCAGCAAACACTTATCAGCCACCACCAGGGTCACTAACCTGGAAGTACCAGCAGCAAACACTTATCAGCCACCACCAGGGCCACTAACCTGGAAGTACCAGCAGCAAACACTTATCAGCCACCACCAGGGCCACTGACCTGGAAGTACAAGCAGCAAACACTTATCAGCCACCACCAGGGTCACTAACCTGGAAGTACCAGCAGCAAACACTTATCAGCCACCACCAGGGCCACTGACCTGGAAGTACAAGCAGCAAACACTTATTAGCCACCACCAGGGCCACTAACCTGGAAGTACTAGCAGCAAACACTTATCAGCCACCACCAGGGCCACTAACCTGGAAGTACTAGCAGCAAACACTTATCAGCCACCACCAGGGCCACTGACCTGGAATTACCAGCAGCAAACACTTATCAGCCACCACCAGGGCCACTAACCTGGAAGTACCAGCAGCAAACACTTACCAGCCACCACCAGGGCCACTAACCTGGAAGTACCAGCAGCAAACACTTACCAGCCACCACCAGGGCCACTGACCTGGAAGTACCAGCAGCAAACACCTAACAGCCACCACCAGGGCCACTAACCTGGAAGTACCAGCAGCAAACACCTAACAGCCACCACCAGGGCCACTGACCTGGAAGTACCAGCAGCAAACACCTAACAGCCACCACCAGGGCCACTAACCTGGAAGTACCAACAGCAAACACTTACCAGCCACCACCTGGGCCACTAACCTGGAGGTACCAACAGCAAACACTTACCAGCCACCACCTGGGCCACTAACCTGGAAGTAGTAACAGAAGCGACGGGAGAAGGTGTTGTGGTAGAGAAGATGGGTGGCGCTGCCGACGTTGTGGATAGTTTCTTTAGTACATCTGCCTGTGTTTCCAGCCTCACAGCGGCTGACGTACAGGTCCCACGACCTCACCCGAGGGTCAGACTTTAGTGCCAGCTCAAGACGGGTGGCACTGTACGTTAAGAATTATGTTAAAAATATACATGTACACACAGAAATCACAATAGCCTATGTATCAATGAACAAATCCACAAGGTTCGAACCCTCGTCACGGCCCTTGTGGATTTGTTCATTGAAATATACATGTTGTTATATGTATGGACAATTATTGGTGTTGTAGATTGATAAATGAAGATTAATTAAGCCCCCGCAAAAGGTGGCACGGGCATGAATAGCCCGTAAGTGGTAGATTTTTGGAGTGAATGTGATCGTTGGTGTGAATGGTGTTGTTACTGGTTTGATGTTGAGTTTAAGGGCTATCTCATAGAGGCTAAATGTATTGAAAATATATATATACGTAAAGAAAAACGGGATATATGTACATAACAAATGTAAAAGACAACGGTAAAAACACTCACAGAACAGCTGTAAATTAAAATAAAACACGCATAACAAGTAAACCAAACGGGACAAATACAAAACAGCTCTAAAAGAAAAACAAAACAAGCTAAACAGTTTTATTTACAAAAACATAAAACACAAATACAGGAAAACGAAGAGACACGAACACTGCCTCGAGGGGGGCCTCGTAGCCTGGTGGATAGCGCTCAGGACTCGTAATTCTGTGGCGCGGGTTCGATTCCCGCACGAGGCAGAAACAAATGGGCAAAGTTTCTTTCACCCTAAGTGCCCCTGTTACCTAGCAGTAAATAGGTACCTGGGAGTTAGTCAGCTGTCACGAGCTGCTTCCTGGGGTGTGTGTGGTGTGGTGTGGAGAAAAAAAAAAAAAGTAGTTAGTAAACAGTTGATTGACAGTTGAGAGGCGGGCCGAAAGAGCAAAGCTCAACCCCCGCAAAAACACAACTAGTAAACACTGCCGTATAAATCAACATTGTATACCTTGCTTAGCTAAATGAATTATGGAGTTTAGTCCCTGAGCCCATTAATGTGCCTTTGTAACCCTTCTCACTACCGCCCACAAGATGGGTATGGGGTGCATGATAAATGAATTATGGGGTTCGGTCCCTGAGCCCATTAATGTGCCTTTGTAACCCTTCTCACTACCGCCCACAAGATGGGTATGGGGTGCATGATAAATGAATTATGGGGTTCAGTCCCTGAGCCCATTAATGTGCCTTTGTAACCTCTCTCACTACCGCCCACAAGATGGGTATGGGGTGCATGATAAATGAATTATGGGGTTCAGTCCCTGAGGCCATTAATGTACCTTTGTAACCTCTCTCACTACCGCCCACAAGATGGGTATGGGGTGCATGATAAATGAATTATGGGGTTCAGTCCCTGAGCCCATTAATGTGCGTTTGTAACCCTTCTCACTACCGCCCACAAGATGGGTATGGGGTGCATGATAAATGAATTATGGGGTTCGGTCCCTGAGCCCATTAATGTACCTTTGTAACCCTTTCCGCTACCACCCACAAGATGGGTATGGGGGTAAATGAACTAAACTAAAGTGCCGTATAAGTGCCATTCACTCACTTGAACTGGAGGATAGAGACCTGAAGAGGTACATGAGTGCCGCCGGTGGTGAAGGTCCTGGAGAAGACGCCGTCCGCCCGAAGCCTCTTGCAGCCCTTCTTCAGCCCACACATCCGGCCCTCCTCCTGCCCACCAAAACATTCATCACCTTTACTAATTTCAAGATGATTGATTATAGTTGTTATATATAAATATGAGTCATTAAAGTTATTCTAACGTTTGTAGCGTAGTTATTCTAACGTTTTGTAACGTTTGTGTGTGTGTTTGTGGCTTTGCAAGAATGTAAGAACGTCAATGTTATGTACTCTCTCAACCAAGTATATATATACCTGAAGTGTATCTTCTGGTAAATACATATAAATAAACCTTGTATATAAATAGTTGTCTATGGCCTAGTGCCTATGGCCGTTGGAGAGCTGGTCGGCCGAGCGGACAGCACGCTGGGCTTGTGATCCCAGGCGCCGGCGAGAAACAATGGGCAGAGTTTCTTTCACCCTATGCCCCTGTTACCTAGCAGTAAAATAGGTACCTGGGTGTTAGTCAGCTGTCACGGGCTGCTTCCTGGGGGTGGAGGCCTGGTCGAGGACCGGGCCGTGGGGACACTAAAGCCCCGAAATCATCTCAAGATAACCTCACGGGCTATTTCCTTTCACCTGATGCCTCTGTTCGCCTAGCAGTAAATCCCTGGAGTTAGGCACCTGTTGTGGGTGTTGTATCCTGGGGAGGGTCAGTAGGTCGACCTTGGGGGACCTCGATAGGCTAACAGGCTTCCTGTCCCAGACATTGTAAAACGAACGTTGAATGTCTTCCCATTATCTTTGCTTCGTGCAGTGGAGATTCCTAATACCCGGGATTTACCGGCAGAAATCTAAGTGCCTTTTTTATCCTTTGTTCATTCTATTAACTGAACTGCATAATTTAAATGGGGTGTAACATGGTCAAGATAAATATGAAGAATTGTTGTTTATGAAACTCAGATATTTATCACGTTTAGATTTTACAATTATAACGTTGTTCAGTTTATGTCTAAGCCCTGGAGCCCTACGTTCAGTTTATGTCTAAGCCCTGGAGTCTATCGTCAGTTTATGTCTAAGCCCTGGAGCTTAGCATTCAGTTTATGTCTAAGCCCTGGAGCTTAACATTCAGTTTATGTCTAAGCCCTGGAGCCTAGCATTCAGTTTATGTCTAAGTCCTGGAGACCTACGGTCAACAGGATTAAACTACATTTGCCCATGTTTTGTTCATTGTAAAAGTTCGTATAACTCGTCTCGATCGTTACGATTATGAGTCTTCTACATTTATTTCCCGCTTTTTTTTTGTTAGTATTAACTTATTAATTTGGTAAATGTTGCTTTTCAGTTATATTTTTAAATCGTTTATATATATATGGTAAAAAACAATCAAGGACTGAGGACAGATTCCTGGGGCACTCCACTATATCCTGTCCCAGCCCCTGTTCCACCTGTGTGGCTCCAGTTTCTCCCGTCCCAGGAAAAGTTCTCAAATACCTTACCCTTTTGCCTTTGTAGGTTTCCATAACCCTTTGGTCATCGCATCCGACAACCTCTATCTCCCAGCTCCTGTTTGCGGCACCTGTTAGAGAAAGAAAAATTAACTCCTGGTGCTGGATGACTGGGGTCGACAGACGACAACAAGCATCGACAAACGACAACAGATGTCGACAGACAACGACAGGCGTCGATAGGTGATAAAAGGGAGACGATAACGGTTGACAGAAGACAGTAGGAATGGACAAAAAGGGGGGCATAGTTGGACGTCAGACCACCGCAGGAAACGAAAGGGATGGACAATATACGACAGATAACTGCTAATGAGGACATTTATGTCAATGGATATGAAAGATACTATATTAATGGATAATTGAGGAAATCAATGAGGAATCAAATGTGAAGGAAAGGAAGATGCTGACTGAGGACTGAGGATAGTACCCAAGTGAGCACATGGACTCACTTGGCAGTACCTTGAAGCAATAGTACATATACACTTTGCAATACGGTGGACCGCCTGGATTTACTCGATCGAGGAGCAAAGTGAGGCGCTCAGGCTTAACTAGAGACACGGGAAGGCTCTATAGGACTCACATGCGAGACATTGTGGACTCAAGTGAAGACGATAGGTGTAGGCATCGGTGGTAGGGGTGACAGATGTCTCTACAGTGATGTTCCTTACACACGTCTCTACAGTGATGTTTCTTTCACACGGTGAAGCTGTAAGGAGTAGATTCTTGAGGCTCTCACCAGATTGTCACGAGATTCATTATTATGAAACCACTGTAATATGCAGATGATGAGTCACAGTAACGTGGCTGAACAAATGTTGACCAGACTATACACTAGAAAGTGAAGGGACGACGACGTTTCGGTCCGTCCTGGACCATTCTCAAGTCGATTGTGAGAATCAAGTCTTCACAAGCGACTTGAGAATGGTCCAAGACGGACAGAAACGTCGTCGTCCCTTCACTTCGTAGTGTGTGGTCTAGTCACCTCTGTAACATGTTCGTTTGTATAGTTTATGACTAAAATATTACTTATATTAATATTATCAGCAGTCATTATAAAACTCCGTTTCTCACTTTCATTGAATGGAGAAGCATTAGCCTAATCACAATAAAATGTAAAATTAAAGTTTGTCGTTACACGAACATTTCTTTAATTGACTAAAGTTTGAAAAGATGGTTATATAGTGGAAAATTAGATGGTTTCCACTCCTACCCATTTATCCATAAGTGACGGATAAAACAGATTAATCTTACTTTGTGACTTCCACAAACGTCTAGATCCTCATACCACATACAGAATCCTTCCCAGCTCATGAAATCCTAGTTATGGTGTCCCTTGTCCGGGACAGTAACTCTGTTAGCTTTATCAAGGACCCAATAGGGCAACTAATGAAGAATACCCGTTTTTAATGCATCGGCAGGTAAGGTTAGGGGGGTTACATGGGTGCGTACGTTTCTGGTTAGGCTGCAACTTTTTATTTTGTACATTGTGGTAAATCAAGAGAACGGGGTGAGCACGAACGGCCTCCAGTAGCTTAACCAATATTTGTGGCGTGAAAGTTACATTTCCCCTCAGCGAATTGCTCTCAAAAGCACCGCCGTCAACTGTAAACAGATCTAGAGCCAGATTCATGAAAGCACTTACGCAAGCACTTACGAACCTGTACATCTTTTCTTAATCTTTGGCGGCTTTGTTTACAACTATTAAACAGTTAATGAGCTCCGAAGCACCAGGAGGCTGTTTATAACAATAACAACAGTTGATTGGCAAGTTTTCATGCTTATAAACTGTTTAATAAATGTAACCAAAGCCATCAAAGATTGAGGAAAGATGTACACATTCGTAAGTATTTGCGTAACTGCTTCGTGAATCTGGCCCCTAGAACTTTGCTATTTCTTCTTCTTCAAAGAGAAGAAACCAGTATACTATCAACATGAAGCAATTACAACAGTTCTCACAGAGATGGGCTACCAAAAGATCACTTGAGATCAGCTACCAAAAGCCAATTAGACTCTCATATTGCATCATTGAGCTCCTTGAGATTGATTTTCACCTCGACCAGTCATGATTCAATACGTGCCATTCGTCCCTATTTTCTTAGTCACGTCACGGAATGTAATGCCAGAAGTGATGGCAGTGCCAGAAGTTGGGTGCCATGTTTTCTCACCTCAGGCGAGGAAAATGAAAGTGAACTTCATTTGAAATCATTACTATAAACAAGATACTCATACAGTTGATTTAACGGGTCGAAGTCTGTGTTCATTTTTTATCGAGGAAGTTTTAGTCATTATTTTACATATTTGTAATTAGTTCAACGCCATTGTAACTCATACGATGAATCCCGTTTTGTTAAATCTTAATTTACCTTTGTGAGCATTCCACAATCATCCCTGTATGAGTTTTGGGTAAATAATTAATATGTTAAACTCTCAATTGCTTCCTTATTCCGTCTGATCTGGCTAGGCTTCGGTTCCTCCTAATTTGTCTAGGCTTCGGCACTTTATTCCATTTTTAATAGAGATGAAAGTTGAACAATACAAGAAATATGAAAGTTAGTGTATGTTGACATGACGAGTTTCAGCAGTAGATGTCCACACAGGACGTGGAGAGGCGAGCCCTGATAAGCACACCACAGGATACCATGGTAACTTGTGGCATATCCTATAGCTGGGCCCTATGGCGTGGTAGGTAATGCGATTTGTTCTGAATCTATGCTTACTGGGTTCGATTCCCGGACAGGGCAGACGTTTGCGGGGTAACATTCCCTTACCCCCAGCTGCTACTGTTCACTTATAGCAGTTAGTAGAGTTATTCGACTGTTGTGGGTTGCATCCTAGGGAAGGTCAGTCGTTGGCCTGTGAGGGGGCGATCTCGATAAACGTAACAGGCTTCCTGTCCCCGACAACGGAAAGCCAATCTGCGTATTGTGAATTTCACTTGTTTATTGCACAACATCTTATTTATGTTGCAGCTGTTGTAAATAATTGTATTTTGTTTTATGTGATAGGGGGCGTATATACTGTACGTATAGGCCTACCGCGTTCGGGAACAGAAAGCCCGTTTAGTTTGAGATACTGAAAGTTATCCACCACTTCACCACAGATATCTCTCTATCTCTGACCTTCCTCTCTTTCCTTCCCCTCTCTCTCTCTCTCTCTCTCTCTCTCTCTCTCTCTCTCTCTCTCTCTCTCTCCCCCCCCTCTCTCCCTCTGTCTCTCTGTCTCTCTCTCTCTCTCTCCCTCTCAAATAAAAATCTAATCAAATCTAAATTAGAAGCAAAGTTTTGGGAACACATAGATAAACCAGTGTCGGCGGGCAGGAGGCTGCCGGGACACAGGTAACTCCTAGAGTACTGACTCACCTTCACCTAGTACAGAATATGTGGCGAACATGAGGTGGGTGGCAGCCAGGAGGTGGGTGGCAGCCAGGAGGTGGGTAGCAGCCAGGAGGGCAGCGAAGGTGCTGAACATCCCGATACAGGCAAGCCGTCATGTGGATGGCACCCCCTGTGTGTGATTGATTGATTGATGAACATTATCCCACCCAAAAAGGTGGCACGGGCATGAATAGCCCGTAAATGGTGACCCTTTGGAGCCATTACCAGTATATAGATGATACTGGAGATCTGTGGAGGTGCGACCACACTCTACGTTGCCTGTGTGTGGGTGATATGGGGCTTTTAGTGTGTGTTTGTGAAAGTGTAATTAGCTACGTGTAATTACAGGATGAGTTACAGTTTTACACAGGATGCGTTTTACGGATTACAGTTACAGTCTCGTTTTCCTAGTACTAGAGCAACCTGTTCTGAATAGTACATCGTATTTATGATGTGTATTTCCCTAAGGCACTGATGAATTCAAAGCGGCATTGCGGCTCGACGAAACGTCCCGTTTTCTGTTCGTGGGTTCTCCGGTAGGTTGGGTTCGGGCAATTTAGTATAGTGACGCTGTGAACGCTCAGGAGAAGACAGTCTTGACTGTCGTTTAAGACGCTATGAAACTACTGACGGTTTTGACCTCCGTCACCTCCAGAACTTTCTCCAACTGTCTATCAGAAGCGAACTTTGTCATTTGTTTGGGTCGCTTCCTTAGTGACGTCTTGTTCTTGAAGTGCCCACCAGCCTTTATGTGCTGTTATGTCCATGTTGGACTCATTCAAATAAGCTGCTTCCTCTTCTAGCTCATTCCTCATGCTCACATAATTTACCACATGCTCACTGGCTCATTCCTCATGCTCACATAATTTACCACATGCTCACTGGCTCATTCCACATGCTCACTGGTCACTGGCTCATTCCTCATGCTCACTGGCTCATTCCACATGCTCACCGGCTCATTCCACATGCTCGCTGGCTCATTCCACATATTCACTGGCTCATTCCACATACTCGCTGGCTCATTCCACATGCTCACTGGCTCATTCCACATGCTCACTGGCTCATTCCACATGTTCACTGGCTCATTCCACATACTCGCTGGCTCATTCCACATATTCACTGGCTCATTCCACATGCTCACTGAGGAAATACTTCTTTTTGTCCCTCCGGCTTCAACGCACTACGACCTTCTGATTCTACCCATATATATATATATATATATATATATATATATATATATATATATATATATATATATATATATATATATATATATATATATATATATATATATATATATATATATATATATACCTATCTTTATTTTTTACTGCGTGATCATTTCTCACCTGATTCTATTTCTCCTTGATAACTGTGAACTGTTCGCTTCCCGTATGTTCAATGTTCAGCCCTCTTAACTATGATACCATTTTTGCTTAATTCCCAGGTATCTATTTACTGTTAAGCGATCAGGGACATCAGGTGAAAGGAAATGTGCTAAAACTCCTGACCCACCTCGAGAATCGAACTCGGAAACTTTCGGCAGTACGATTTCGTCGACCACTACCAATAGAGCTAATAGAGAACAACCTTCAATTTCAGCTGGTTAAAGCTTCAGTTTGTGAGTATGCATATAATTATTAGCATCAGATTCGTAAAATCGATAACATTATTAATAATTTACCTGATGGCCACTAACCCTAGTGGCCTCGACAAGCAGTGCGGTCTGCTGCATGATGCGAGGAGGACGTGTTGCTCCGCATCTTCGTGTTTGCACGTGGCTGCTGCAGCTAGATGTTGTGAATTTGTTCTCGACTGTTGCAGTGATACAGTGCCTTTGTGTATCGAGGAAATGGCTGAGGCGGTCTGCCTAGGTGATGGAAGATCCTGTACTGGGCCTGGAGAGTGTGACAGTGGGGATGGCAGACAGGATGATACTAGGCCGTATCAAGCAGTAGTAAACAGATATAAACGGAGAAATATTCAAAGACAGCGAGACGAAGACAGTGAGGAGGAAATAACAAAGAGACCAAAAAATGAAGACATGCTCAGCAGGACGCGGGAGATGCAGACTAATGGAAGGAAGAGGCTGTTGTTCCCTACAGCATGTCAACTGAATTTCCACCAAAAGCTGGAGTGGACGGTTCGTTTGGCTAAGGAGTTTTTTGAATATGAACCACTATTCAAGGAGGGTCTTCACCGGCCCTATATAACAGTTGGGACAGAGGAGGCCGTGGAACACCTAACGAAGGATGGGTTTGAGAATATTGTGATGGTTACTCCGGAAAAAGGTATGATGTACACCAAGGTCATAGTGTTTAAGTATCCAACTTATTTGGATCCTGATTATCTATTGCTCAACAATGATAGTGTTGTTTGGGCAAAGAGGAACAGTGTTCGTGGTGAAAAACAAAGCCAGGTTGTTGCCTTGGTAAAGGGTGAGGCTCCAGAAAGAATTTTTGTGCAAGGACTAGGCTACAGGAAAGTTGTAAAATACATTGAGGAGCCCATATTATGCATGAAGTGTTCTCGTTGGGGACATATGGCTTGGAAATGCCAGTTTGACTCCAGGTGTCGGTACTGTGGTAAGAAACACGACTCTCGAGAGTGTAGAGTCAAGATTAAAAACGGTGAAAAAATCGTCCCATCTTGTTGCAATTGTCGAGGAAGCCACAATGCTGGTTCCTATCTATGTCGCATGAAGCCTCATCTGAGAGACTCGAGGACGGGTGCTACAAGCAGGATAGATGTATCCTCGAAGGAAGGAAAGATTGTGCAGCAGGAACATGGAGGAAACAGTTGGAAGCCAATGACAGCGCCTATGAACAATGTGTGGGAGAAAGGAACAGAGACAATTAAGGCGAGCCTAGGGAAAGTAGGAAATGCAGCTGAAAAAATTAAACCTTGTGGAAACAAGGTTCAGGTCAATATAGTGAACTCTGAGGTTGGTACTCAAATATTGGAATATCTAAAAAAACTAGAAAAGAGGATTGAGGCATTAGAAAAATTAACTATGGGGGGTAGACGGGGTGAAGATGGTGGTGAAACAGGACGTGAAGTGGAAAGTGAAACAGGACGTGAAATGGAAAGTGAAACAGGACGTGAAATGGAAAGTGAAACAGGACGTGAAATGGAAAGCCAAACAGGACGTGAAATGGAAAGCCAAACAGGACGTGAAATGGAAAGCCAAACAGGACGTGAAATGGAAAGTGAAACAGGACGTGAAATGAAAAGCCAAACAGGACGTGAAATGAAAAGCCAAACAGGACGTGAAATGGAAAGCCAAACAGGACGTGAAATGGAAAGCCAAACAGGACGTGAAATGGAAAGCCAAACAGGACGTGAAATGGAAAGCCAAACAGGACGTGAAATGAAAAGCCAAACAGGACGTGAAATGAAAAGCCAAACAGGACGTGAAATGGAAAGTGAAACAGGACGTGAAATGGAAAGTGAAACAGGACGTGAAATGGAAAGTCAAACAGGACGTGAAATGGAAAGTGAAATAGGACGTGAAGTGGAAAGTGAAACAGGACGTGAAATGTGCGTTGAAGAAAGTAAGGAAGAACATGACGTATTGATGATAGAGGATAGTCAGGAAAATGAACTTTCTAGTAGTGTTAGCGTTCAACCTTCTGTAGTGACAAATGTCGAAACAAAGGTTAAAGTAAAACGGTATAGAGAAATAAGAAAGAAATTAGATATGAATAAGATCACCTTTGATGCTAGTAGCTGTTGTGCAAATGAGGAGAAAGCAGAAATGTTACAGTGTTGGGAGAGTCTGTCTGAGAAAATCTCGTATCTCATGGAATGTGACAGACAGGGCAAAGGTAGTTTTATTAAATCATGGATGAAAGTAGAGTGAGAATATTATCTTGGAGCGTTAATGGGTTAAAATCTAGTGCGGTGGATGTACACTATTATACTCTTAGATAGTACTATATTAACCTGATATGTTACATGGGATTCTTGTATTTGTACTCACTGAATTTGTGCGCCCCTTGAGGGACTTGAAGTATGGGAAGGGGTAGAAATAGCCTAAGCTAATCTTTGATTTTTTTTTTTTTTTTTTTTTTTTTTTTTTTTTTTAACTTGTCTCAATAAACCTACTTGAACTTGGAAGACCATTATGTATTAAAGTGTCAAATTATGGATAACCATAGAAATAAGGAAATAAGTAGTGTACCACTTCAAATTGTTTGGATGTGTGATAATGATATGATAGACAGAATACTTAGGAACTACAAGAATTTTGCCCCAATGATTGTAACACTTACTATATTAATATGCAATGTTAAATGTTGTATTGTGATTTGTGTATCTGTACTCACTGAATTTGTGCGCCCCTTGAGGGACTTGAAGTAGAGGGGGGTAGAAATAGCCTAAGCTACTCTATCCCTTTGAGATGTATTTTTTTCTTGTCTCAATAAACATACTTGAACTTGAACTTGAAGCCTCGACAAGGACAGTAAGTCGGCGGCTTGTCGAGGGAAACCCCCTCTCCCCCATTTGCCTGTATGATCTATTCCAGGTAGATTTTAAAACAACACACTATAACATTTACGGCTTCGGCGGGTAGGCGGTTCCATAATGTTGCAATGGTAATGTCATCAGTGTGAAGAATGTCCATAAATACATAAATACTATAATTTAGAAGCGGCTCTAAGCTAAAAATAAATTTCTCACTATTTTCCAATGGCAAACTTAAAGTCTTAGTGTAAATGGGGAGAATTCAAACAATACTTACGCTAATGCGCCGTGCTTAGGCGGCAACTCTAGCTGACGACCCCGGCCTGGAGAGGATTGTAGCTGACGACCTTGGCCTGGAGATGACCGCAGCTGACGACCTTTGTCTCGTGAGGATTGTAGATGACAACCTTGGCCTGGAGATGATTGTAGATGACAACCTTGGCCTGGAGATGATTGTAGATGACAACCTTGGCCTGGAGATGACCGCAGCCTGGTGAAGAATGTAGACGACGACCTTGGCCTGGAAACGACCTGCAGGAGACAATCTTGCCCTGGCGACGACCTGCAGCAGCCAAAGACAATATTCTGACGACAAACACGTTTGACGACCGAGGACAGGAGACGGTCTCCTAGCTGTCGACCGACCGAGAAAATGCCGCGCGACGGTCGGCAGAGACCCGTCACCGGATGACAAAGAGGCTGATGTAGCCTAGTGCTCGCGGCCTGATAACTGAGCGTGGCTCCTCTCTTACACAACCCGCGGCCAGCCAAGCCACAGCTCCCATACTAACCCTTCCGCCTTTTAACACACTACAGTATTTAATTCAAAATATTATCATTATTAACACAGTATATAACTATACAATGTATAATTATGCAGTATATACTTCTTAACACAGCATATAATATATAACACAATATATATATATATATATATATATATATATATATATATATATATATATATATATATATACAATATATATATATATAATATATATATATATATACAATATATATACAATATATATATATAATCTATATATATATATATACAATATATATACAATATATATATATATATATATATATATATATATATATATATATATATATATATATATTTTATTAAATATGACCGAAAAAGTAAGATTAATAATTCTAACACGAATTTTCTCAATCTTTCGTACATTATGCTTCACTGTTGGAGGTAAATCAAAAATCACTTCTCCAAAATTCATTTTTATTTCTAGTCTGACGCGACACGGGCGCGTTTCGTAAAACTTATTACATTTTCAAAGACTTCACAAATACACAACTGATTAGAACTTGCGTTTCCCTGATTTTATATCTACCTTTGAGTGAGGTGGGAAGGGTGATGTGGCATTACATTTGAGTGAGGTGGGAAGGATGATGTGGCATTAGAGGATATTAATAGGGTATTAAAAGTATCAACACAAGACAGAACACGAAACAATGGATATTGAATAGAAGTGTTTGTAGAAAGCCTATTGGTCCATATTTCTTGATGCTTCTATATTGGAGCGGAGTCTTGAGGTGGGTAGAATATAGTTGTGCAATAATTGGCTGTTGATTGCTGGTGTTGACTTCTTGATGTGTAGTGCCTCGCAAACGTCAAGCCGCCTGCTATCGCTGTATCTATCGATGATTTCTGTGTTGTTTACTAGGATTTCTCTGGCGATGGTTTGGTTATGGGAAGAGATTATATGTTCCTTAATGGAGCCCTGTTGTTTATGCATCGTTAAACGCCTAGAAAGAGATGTTGTTGTCTTGCCTATATACTGGGTTTTTTGGAGCTTACAGTCCCCAAGTGGGCATTTGAAGGCATAGACGACGTTAGTCTCTTTTAAAGCGTTCTGTTTCGTGTCTGGAGAGTTTCTCATGAGTAGGCTGGCCGTTTTTCTGGTTTTATAGTAAATCGTCAGTTGTATCCTCTGATTTTTGTCTGTAGGGATAACGTTTCTATTAACAATATCTTTCAGGACCCTTTCCTCTGTTTTATGAGCTGTGGAAAAGAAGTTCCTGTAAAATAGTCTAATAGGGGGTATAGGTGTTGTGTTAGTTGTCTCTTCGGAGGTTGCATGGCTTTTCACTTTCCTTCTTATGATGTCTTCGATGAAACCATTGGAGAAGCCGTTATTGACTAGAACCTGCCTTACCCTACAGAGTTCTTCGTCGACTTGCTTCCATTCTGAGCTGTGGCTGAGAGCACGGTCGACGTATGCGTTAACAACACTCCTCTTGTACCTGTCAGGGCAGTCGCTGTTGGCATTTAGGCACATTCCTATGTTTGTTTCCTTTGTGTAGACTGCAGTGTGGAAACCTCCGCCCTTTTCCATGACTGTTACATCTAGAAAAGGCAGCTTCCCATCCTTTTCCGTCTCGTAAGTGAAACGCAGCACGGAACTCTGCTCAAATGCCTCCTTCAGCTCCTGCAGATGTCTGACATCAGGTACCTGTGTAAAAATGTCGTCAACATACCTGCAGTATATGGCCGGTTTCAAGTTCATGTCGACTAAGACGTTTTGCTCGATGGTACCCATGTAGAAGTTTGCAAACAGGACACCTAGGGGAGAACCCATAGCGACCCCATCTACTTGCTTATACATATGCCCATCCGGGCTCAAGAAGGGTGCCTCTTTAGTACAAGCTTGGAGTAGTTTCCTCAGAATACTTTCTGGCATGTCAAGAGGAGTACAGGCTGGATCACGATACACTCTGTCGGCTATCATTCCGATTGTCTCGTCCACAGGTACGTTGGTAAACAGCGATTCTACGTCCAACGAGGCTCTTATCCCTGTGGCCCGTGCGCCCCGCAGTAAGTCCACAAATTCCTTTGGAGACTTCAGGCTGAAGGCGCAAGGAACATAAGGAGTCAGCAGGCCGTTGAGTCGCTTTGCCAATCTGTACGTGGGTGTGGGTATCTGGCTAATGATTGGCCGAAGTGGGTTTCCAGGCTTGTGCGTCTTGACATTTCCATACGCATATCCAGGTTTATATTCCCCAATGATCTTTGGCAGGTGGAGTCCGGATTTCTTGGCGTTCACAGTTTCGATCAGTTTGTTGACCTTTGTTTTTAATTCGGCTGTAGTGTCCTTCGTTACCCTTTGGAACTTAGTTTGGTCAGAGAGTATGATGTTCATTTTCGCCAGATATTCGTCTTTTTTAAGAATGACATATATTGGCGACTTGTCACCTCTCCTGACAACTATCTCCTTGTTCTCACGAAGGCTTTTAGCTGCCGCTCTAAGCTCGGGGGACAGTATGGTGCTTCTGTAGTTGCCTCGATTCTTTCCTCCTTCTGCAATAAGTTCTGCTTGTAAGGTATCTTTGGTAGTGACCTTCTTTTGTGTCTCGAGGTCGAATATGTTGGAAGGAGTTGGAAATTCTGTTGGACGACATATTCGACCTCGAGACACAAAAGAAGGTCACTACCAAAGATACCTTACAAGCAGAACTTATTGCAGAAGGAGGAAAGAATCGAGGCAACTACAGAAGCACCATACTGTCCCCCGAGCTTAGAGCGGCAGCTAAAAGCCTTCGTGAGAACAAGGAGATAGTTGTCAGGAGAGGTGACAAGTCGCCAATATATGTCATTCTTAAAAAAGACGAATATCTGGCGAAAATGAACATCATACTCTCTGACCAAACTAAGTTCCAAAGGGTAACGAAGGACACTACAGCCGAATTAAAAACAAAGGTCAACAAACTGATCGAAACTGTGAACGCCAAGAAATCCGGACTCCACCTGCCAAAGATCATTGGGGAATATAAACCTGGATATGCGTATGGAAATGTCAAGACGCACAAGCCTGGAAACCCACTTCGGCCAATCATTAGCCAGATACCCACACCCACGTACAGATTGGCAAAGCGACTCAACGGCCTGCTGACTCCTTATGTTCCTTGCGCCTTCAGCCTGAAGTCTCCAAAGGAATTTGTGGACTTACTGCGGGGCGCACGGGCCACAGGGATAAGAGCCTCGTTGGACGTAGAATCGCTGTTTACCAACGTACCTGTGGACGAGACAATCGGAATGATAGCCGACAGAGTGTATCGTGATCCAGCCTGTACTCCTCTTGACATGCCAGAAAGTATTCTGAGGAAACTACTCCAAGCTTGTACTAAAGAGGCACCCTTCTTGAGCCCGGATGGGCATATGTATAAGCAAGTAGATGGGGTCGCTATGGGTTCTCCCCTAGGTGTCCTGTTTGCAAACTTCTACATGGGTACCATCGAGCAAAACGTCTTAGTCGACATGAACTTGAAACCGGCCATATACTGCAGGTATGTTGACGACATTTTTACACAGGTACCTGATGTCAGACATCTGCAGGAGCTGAAGGAGGCATTTGAGCAGAGTTCCGTGCTGCGTTTCACTTACGAGACGGAAAAGGATGGGAAGCTGCCTTTTCTAGATGTAACAGTCATGGAAAAGGGCGGAGGTTTCCACACTGCAGTCTACACAAAGGAAACAAACATAGGAATGTGCCTAAATGCCAACAGCGACTGCCCTGACAGGTACAAGAGGAGTGTTGTTAACGCATACGTCGACCGTGCTCTCAGCCACAGCTCAGAATGGAAGCAAGTCGACGAAGAACTCTGTAGGGTAAGGCAGGTTCTAGTCAATAACGGCTTCTCCAATGGTTTCATCGAAGACATCATAAGAAGGAAAGTGAAAAGCCATGCAACCTCCGAAGAGACAACTAACACAACACCTATACCCCCTATTAGACTATTTTACAGGAACTTCTTTTCCACAGCTCATAAAACAGAGGAAAGGGTCCTGAAAGATATTGTTAATAGAAACGTTATCCCTACAGACAAAAATCAGAGGATACAACTGACGATTTACTATAAAACCAGAAAAACGGCCAGCCTACTCATGAGAAACTCTCCAGACACGAAACAGAACGCTTTAAAAGAGACTAACGTCGTCTATGCCTTCAAATGCCCACTTGGGGACTGTAAGCTCCAAAAAACCCAGTATATAGGCAAGACAACAACATCTCTTTCTAGGCGTTTAACGATGCATAAACAACAGGGCTCCATTAAGGAACATATAATCTCTTCCCATAACCAAACCATCGCCAGAGAAATCCTAGTAAACAACACAGAAATCATCGATAGATACAGCGATAGCAGGCGGCTTGACGTTTGCGAGGCACTACACATCAAGAAGTCAACACCAGCAATCAACAGCCAATTATTGCACAACTATATTCTACCCACCTCAAGACTCCGCTCCAATATAGAAGCATCAAGAAATATGGACCAATAGGCTTTCTACAAACACTTCTATTCAATATCCATTGTTTCGTGTTCTGTCTTGTGTTGATACTTTTAATACCCTATTAATATCCTCTAATGCCACATCATCCTTCCCACCTCACTCAAATGTAATGCCACATCACCCTTCCCACCTCACTCAAAGGTAGATATAAAATCAGGGAAACGCAAGTTCTAATCAGTTGTGTATTTGTGAAGTCTTTGAAAATGTAATAAGTTTTACGAAACGCGCCCGTGTCGCGTCAGACTAGAAATAAAAATGAATTTTGGAGAAGTGATTTTTGATTTACCTCCAACAGTGAAGCATAATGTACGAAAGATTGAGAAAATTCGTGTTAGAATTATTAATCTTACTTTTTCGGTCATATTTAATAAAATATGTCTACAGGAAAGACTGCTACCAAATATACTATATA